CTCTAAAATTTAAGACCTGCGCATGCGTGATAGAGACGTCGCACCAAGCACGAGACTGGAAGACGGAATTGGCCTTTGACCCACCTTGACGCCCGAAGCAACAGCTGTCTGCCAACCGGTTCCCTTTATTGGGGATGCCGACACTTATGGCTCAACTTGATAACGGGTTCAATCGTCCCCACAGCAAACCAGACAGTCACTCGAGAACGACCCCGAGTAACAACAGTAACTACCCGAAACCTCACTGCTTACAAAGAAATGGAGCGACAGGACTGCAGGGAGACAGAATCGATAAATCAGAATTAAAGCAGATTACAAACACCGATTTAGGCAAAATGGGCGTTTTCATGTAAAGTCACATTCAACCAGTTCATCAAGACCTGAAAGTTCAACTGTTGTCTGATGGGATACGATGTCTGGTAAGTGGGTACGGACGCTTCGGAGGGGAATACTGCCTCCATTCTCATGATCTCGTTTGTACGATCGTGAAGATTTGTGCTGATGTCTTTGGGTTATGACTCTGTACAGTCTGGTAAACGCATATCAACGTTTCTGAGGAACTCACTGCCTGCATCTTTAAGGCTAAGATTTAGGTGTACACTGAGCTTCTTCCTACTGGTAACTCCTGCAAGAGCCGCGACTGCGCAATCGGTATAGCGACTGGCTCCTGGCTGGACAACCGAGGAGTCGGAGTTCGAGTCCCGGTGGGGGCAAGAACTTTTACTTCTCCATGTCATCCAAACCGGCTGTGGAGTACACCCAACCTCCTATCCAATGGGTTCCGGGGGCTCTTTCCCCGGTGGTAAAGCGGCCGGGGCGTGAAGCTGACCACTCACCTCCATCTAGTGCCGAGGTCAAGAAAACGTGGTTGTATACATCCACTCTCCCATACGCCTTCATGGCGTACTGGCTAACTTAGTTAAGTACTAGTAGACCTACCATCATCATGATCATGATCATCATCACTGTCATAGTCAGTTCACCTGCACCTCTCCTTCTGATGGACACACGTTTAGTCACGAACAGGTTGAACAGGTTGCACTCGTGGCTTGACCTAACTTCGATTGTGTACAGTCCGATACAGACGTGCTCAAAAACCAACTAAAAATGAAATACCTCAACATCTTTATTATCATTAGTAGTAGTAGTAGTAGTAGTAGTAGTAGTAGTAGTAGTAGTAGTAGTAGTAGTAGTAGCAGTAGTAGTAGTTAGTATCGACACTTTCTGATAATTTGTGGGCGTGGCACGAGTGCGTGCGAGTCTCTGCGTGCAATTATTGCGCCCGTGTGCACCCGGCACTCCAGTGACCCCCCCCCCCTTCCATGACAGTTTGCAAAGCAACAGGCATTACGCCCGCTAGGTCGTGCGGATAAGTGAATATCACCTGTGCTTGACGCCCTTCCCACAAGGTGCTAATAATTAAAGTCTGCCTTACGTAATTGCCAAAGAAGAGAAGGGGCGTTAACTTCAAGCAGTAAACAGTTCCCATATTCCATACGAGAAGTCGGGCTTGTAGTCTATGCGCGCCTGTGTTCGTTCCCAATCAATTAGCCCACTTTCACGCCAAGAGGCGGCCACTCGAGTTCCCCACCAACAGTAACATGGGCGTGACAGCATGGGAAGCAAACCTGGACCAGTCACTATGGAATCCTAACATGTAGCTAACGGCAGGGAGGTAAGGTAAGAAAAAGAAAACGTCCCTGTGCTTAACTAATTATGCACTACGCCTTGAAGACGTATGGGGGGTGGATGTATAGAACCACATTTTCTTCACCTCAGCACTAGTTGGTGATCAGTTTCACGATCTGGCCGCTTTACCCCCGGTTCCCACTGTATACGAGGTTGTGCTTCATGATTTTAAGGTCTTGTGGTACATCTTCCCAATTCTTCTTAGGTCTTCCTTTAGGTCTGGATGATAACGTCTTCCAACGAGTTGTTTTCTTTGTTGTTCTCTCTTCATGCGTTCTTTCCAAACGTCCCAACCATGCAATTCTCTAGGCGTTTATATACCTCTCAATATTCCTTTGTTTCAAACGAGTGTTTATTTCTTAGTTTGTTCTCCTTCTCAGACCGTTTGGGTCAACAGTAGGGCATAGAAGTTTCAGATGACTTTCCTTTCAAATATTAATAACTTTTCTTCTATTTGTTTCTCATGTACCCTCGTTTCAGAGGCATACGTTGCTATCTGTCTGTATAAGCTGGAATTTCTTACGAGAAAACACAGGTTACTGAAAACAGGGAATAAGAAAACATGGGACACGAAAACCTTGTAACCAATGTCGGTTGAATGACATGCTATATTACCGACAGCCTCTTATTCCCTCTTCTGCAAAGCTTGTATCTAACGTCAGGGCCCGGATTTTGATGACATGTCATCTTTTTTTTCCTTGTATCCTATGCGATGCTCTTAAATATATAAATCTCGGATATGAGCTGATGGTTACAGAAATGTAAATTTTATAGGTAATGTTTTGTCTCTTTTGACATTTTTAGGTTTAACGTCATTTTTTTCATTTTGGGGTAATTTTTTGGTAAATTTTTGGACTTTTAATGGTATTTCTCGTCATTTTTGGCCATTTTAGGGAATTTTTCTTTATATGTTTTCTGAAATGTGAATAACATGGAAGCGAAGTGTTCTTTCTTTTCTCTTTTAGGTCATTTTTCTAGATTTTTCCGGTCATTTTATGTCATTTTTTAAATATTTTCAGGTCATCAAAATCCGGGCCCTGAATATTACATTTTTGGGTCATATTTTAGGTCATTTTTCTGGATTTTTTCGGTCATTTTTTAAATATTTTCAGGTCATCAAAACCCGGACCTGGTCATAACCAAAATCGTAAGGAATCCCGAACTAAAAACTAATAAACTGACTTTCGTAAATGAAGTATCACACATTTCGGCGACGCGTTACCCTATGCTGACAGAAAAGCAAATCGTATTCATCGCCATAAGTTCGTTGCGAGGCGCGAACTACCCGCTTGTTCAATATGAAGGCCACTTGGATGCCATACTTTTCACACTCCTACATTCATTCAGCAACATCATGAAGGCTATTCAATACAGCAGCGTTCATTAAGGCCGTTTTCATCGTAAATGAAAAGAAACAACATGGCGTCCGGACGTTATATACATTGCCTTTCAGACTGGAGGCTGAAATTAATTTGTCTAGGCCAGAAGTGGGGGAAAAATCTGGCTGGAGGAAGGGAATCAGTACCTGAGGCATTTTCGCGCACCTCACCCCACCCTGGGAACTTCAGATTCCTGCCTAAACTTGTCACGGAATATTTTGTTAACTTTTCATTCAACTTCACAGTATTATAATTCTTCCAACTATGAATTCACAGTACTGGGGAAGGAGGTATCAGGTTACAGCAAGTAGACAACACATGAACAATTTACAAGATTCCTTTTCAGTGTGTTTACAAATAAAGCATTCATCCGGTTACAGAAATTAATACTGTCACGTGTGTACCCATTGCTAAGCAACGGCTCGGTACACAAGCTTCAAGTGTTTTCTATGAAGTTCGCTCCGCGACCGTTGCAATGCAATGGATAAGTAAACATGTTTCAACAACAGAGACTGTGCTTGCTTCAGACAGATCACAGTGGCCGTGCGGTCTAAGGCAGGAACCGTCTTCGCCTTTCCGAACTCTGGAATCGTGGGTTCAAATCCCACTCGAGGCATGGGTGTCTATGTGCATTTATTCTGTGTATGTATTGTTCTTGCGACGGGCTGATCCCTCGTCCAAGGAGTCCTACCGACTGTGTACAGATTAAGAAACTGAAAAAGCGGCCAAGGTTCCAAAAATGGCCGTCGAGCCATAGAGAGAAAGAAAACAAATGTTTCAAATGTCACTTCACCTAGAGGTGTATGTGAACTCTTAGGTCTTAATCTGTACAGCCTCTTGGCATATATTGGTGAAATTCTGTTATACAACAATCGACAGTACGATTCTGATTCCTTTAAAAGGCCGACAGTACTCAGGTGCTTAAACATATTTCTGGCCATGTCTAGCTACGTATTCAATTGGAAAGAAGAAGTCTTGAAAGAAGTTCCTGCTGACCACAAAATACACACATTAGTCTGTGTCAGTAGACCTTAAATATTTACATTAACTCCAATGATTCCTATAAACTTTGTGGCACAACAATACTGCCTAATATGTTCGTCCCATCGAAAGCGTTATCCAAGCTTTTCTCATCTGCACATGGGTCTATCTAGACAATACGTGTATGCGTTTTGACCCACTTCCTCGGAGCAGACCTAGCGCCTCTGTTTCTTAATGGACGTCACTCTGCTGCGTCCTGCGGGATTACTCACAGTCATCAGACAGGCCTCTCCCTGTTGGACTTCATGTTGGCTACTCGATACTCGGTTTTACATTTTCTTCTCAATAAGGAGCATAAAATTTGACAACGAAAGGTGAGCGTGCAGTGTGCATTCGGAAACAAACACGGATGTAAGGATCCTCTAAGCCGCGCCATAGCGCAAGCGGTTAGTCACTGGCTCCCCACCGCGGCGGCCCGGGTTCGATCCCGGGTCTGGTCAAGTGGGATTTGTGGTGGACAAAGTGGCGGTGGGGCAGGTTTTCTCCGAGTACTTCGGTTTCCCCTGCCAATCTTCATTCCACCAATTGCTCCACAATCACCCTCACCTATCATCTGGGGCTGGTACAATAGGCCAGAAGTGGCCGCAGTACAAGGGAGTTAGTTCCACCCCACTAGCAATAAAAAAAAAAGATTTTCTACTGTGTGGCCGAGTGCTGAAGACCGACATCCACTTCCTCCACACAACCTACCAGTGGCGTGTGTGGGTTGGTGTAATATTCCTCTCCCCCATTCTTCGCCACCATCCACCTTCAGGACTCAGTTGACCAGTAGATATGACCATGTAACTTGGTCTGGATAACTACTGGGTACAAAATGATTTCTGGTTTCCTTCATGTAAAACACTGGGCATGGAAATAAAAACATGGCTACGTAGACTATACTGTTCCTACCTTCGAGCGCTGGGCTGCGTCACGTCCTGGTCAGCGGGAGCACTGCAACAAGAGGACAAAACTTGTCACTGATGAGGAGACAATGCGTGCAACACCCTACATGTAGAGTACACCGTACAGTTAAAGCTGCAGGCTTATACCGAGACTGTATAATCCAACGCGTCCTGTATTTTGTTATCCTATTACAGCCTTGGACGAAGCAAATGTATGATACGTCGTATTAAGGGCTCTCACAGCCGTGGTTATGAACACTTCTATTTTTTGGATACAAAGCCACGTAGTCTGATTAAGGTCAATATGTCACCCCGACCTTTACGGCTGAAGAGTCGGCCTGCTTCATGCTCGGTTCTTGCTTGCTTACCGTTCAACCCTCAAAATGGAGGTCACATGTATAACCGTTCCTTCCTTTCGCGCAATATCCACTCGTTGGACGACCGCTTTATAACAGCTCTTCACTTTATGCCCTCCATGACGTAGCCACGGTCGTAGCTGTTGAACGCCACGTGGTCTTAGAAACACGCCGAAGTGTTGAGAATGGCTTGAGGGCAGGAAAAGGGAACACTGTTCAGGGTGTGAGCATGAGAGTCTCTTCGGAGACTAACGGGCCTTGCTCTGACGAGAGGGCACTGAACAAGTCACTGGATCACACTTTTACTAGTGAAATGATGAACTTGTTTTATTGTCCATAACGCTACACGATGTTAGAAATTAGTCACTTTAGGTCGATGGTACAGCTGCTCTAGTATATAACTGTACGCAACACCCAATGGTTACAATGAGTGCCCAGTAGGGCCACGAGTTTCCTCTTCTCCACATGGTCCAGACTGATTGTTACGCCCCCAGTCTCCTATACAGTGGGTACCCACACTCTTCCCCCGGGGGAAAAGCGGCCGGGACCAATCGCCTCCAACTAGTGCCAAGGTCAAGAAAATGTGGATCTATACATCCACTCCCCATACGCCTTGATGACGTAGTGCTTAATTAATTCAGCACAGAAATAACGTTACCTTTCTCATCTTTAATACTTGCAATATATCAACTCTGAAGTGAAACCTGTATCCCTGTAACATAAAACAGTACAGGCCCAGTAAAAGTATAGATCCTGGCTAATAAAGTCCCCCCTCCCCACGGTACTACAGCCCCAGTGGGCCTAGGTCTACCTCCACGAACTTCTCCGTTCACTTCGGTTTTTCTAGATCTTACACATTCGGTAGGACTCCTTGGGCGGGTGATCAGCTCGTCGCAAGGCCTCTACCTATACACAAACACAGAAAAACGCTCGCACACACACACACACACACACACACACACAAACTAAACATCCATGCCCTGAGTGGGATTCGAACCCACGATCCCGGTTTCCAAGCGAGCGAAGACAGTACATGCCTTAGACCGCTCGGCTACCGTGACCGGCTAATAAAGTAGTTTAACGGTTTAAAAATGTATTTCGGAACTTGACACTAGCAAACCAGATTCTTCGTGGGACAGAAGAACAGACTCTTGAAACAGTATTCAGTTCGGACTCCGGTATCATGCCATGTACCACCAAAAACGTACATCCACTTAAATATTGGGAGTTTATGGTCTACGACCTCCTACTTTCAGGGGAGAAGAGACTGCAAATGTTTGAAACAAGGGGCCCAGAACAACATTATGGCTATGAAGGAAGAATCAGTTGGTTATATTATACAAGGAGATTCTTCGTTATTTTTACAGGTCATCCAGTGTTGCTCAGACAGTAATAGACGGCTACGATGGGCTAAGCTTGTAGAGAGCAAGAGGCGAGACGTGGAATATATATATATATAATATATAAACTTTGTTAACTGAAATTCTAAATAAAATTTAAATAAATAAAAGTGAAAGAATTTGGGGTTCTCAAAGCAGTTGTTATGAAGAATTCTTGTCTTCTGGGATACATCGTAGCCTGTTTAAAATCAAGAGATGTTTGGGAACAAGCTGCATCCATCTTAAGGGTCAAGAAATCCAGCATGAAACATGTAGAAAACCGAGATCGTGGTACCTGTCTCATGATGGGGTCTCGCTTGGCCTATTCTTCGACGCTGAAAATGGAGTTGACATGTTCCTCCAAAACGTCGGATCATTTTCATTTGGCTCTGTTATATCCCAGAAGACAGAACTCTTAATAAGCAGCGGGTTATGAACAGTGTACACGTCATTTAGGACTTGAAGCCAGAAGAATATATGATTCCAGCGGAGCTCCGAAGATGTCTTATCTCCTTGCATGTTTCGAGCCAGAAACCTCACTTACAATAAATAATGGTCAGCTACATTGGTTATCTTCAGGGTTTAATTCTAAAAAAAAAATAAACTCCGTGGCGACGGAGCGACCGCCGCTTGTCAGCGAAGTTAGTGCCAACTTTAGCGGATAGATGGTGTCGCGTGGTCAGCGCAACGAAATCCCCAAGGCCGTTAATCTCGGTTTTCTAGATCGGAGCCGCTATTTCATTGAAATAGCTCCTCAGTTATCCTCACGAGGCTGAGTTGTCCCCGTTCCTGATCCACTACTTCTTAGAAAATGAGTTAGCGCCGGGAATCGAACGCGGGATCTCTAGATTTGTTGCCAGGAGGTCGGACAACTAGACCACCGAAGCGGTCTATTGTTTTAACACTATCGACGGAAATAAGTCACTTCCTTGTAGCCTCTTTGGATATACGTATACAGGCTGTTTCACGACTTTAGGGCATAACGGCAGGAGGTGATTTCCTAGGTCTTTGTGATCGAAAAAGTTCATATAAACATGTGTCCGATTTTGGACGGTTACGGAGTTATGACCGTTTTTTTCATTCCCGTACACGCCCTCGTATGAACCGCGTTTGTCAGCTGGCAGGTCGCTATCTTTAGCCAGCTACAGACAGAACGTTCTCGTTATCTTGACACATGAGAGCTACCTAAGGCGGGGTGGGTTGCTATGTCCGGCGCGGTTCCCAACCGATCGGCAGCCTGTGTTGCGGCCGGCGGTGGCATTTCGAAAATCAGCTTTAAGCACCAATCAATTCAAATTAAAGGTAATTTCACGAAGTTAACTTTACATTCATGCTTTAAATATATCATGTATTATGCTGGTTTATTATTTTGTTCCGTTTATTGTCAGTAATCGTTACCTTCTATTCTGAGTTTAAAACGGTCATAACTCCGTAACAGTCCAAAATCGGACACATGTTTATATGAACTTTTCTGATCACAAAGGCCTAGGAAATCACTTCCTGCAGTTATGCCCTAAAGTCGTGAAACACCCTGTATAATGTGTATCACCAATGAAAAGTATACCTAACAGTAAGTTGCACACATGTCCACAGGCCAGCCCAAAACAAATGCGTTGTGTGAGGCTTCCTTTGAACAGACTGCAGAGAGAATCTGAGACATATGGGTCGGCTGCACAATTCACACCAACCGTGTGGCACAACCAGAAGGACTCGAGCGTGTAGCACAACCAGAAGGACTCGGGTATTTGGCACAACCAGAAGGACTCGAGCGTGTGGCACAACCAGAAGGACTCAAGCGTGTGGCACAACCAGAAGGACTCGAGCGTGTGGCACAACCAGAAGGACTCAAGCGTGTGGCACAACCAGAAGGACTCGAATGATCCCATGAAACTCGTAATAGAAAAATGACTGTGAGGTTAAAAACTCGCCGCAAACCGATAAAGGCATGCCAAAGACATCCTGTACCTCCATTTAATGACACAAGTCATAAAACGATTCGGACTGATTCTGGGCAAAAAAAATGTTCACTGTCCTCTTCTGTATATCCTTCACACGACAGTAAGTTTGGTTAACTTTCAGTTCCTTTGTATTTACGAATTAAGGCTTTACACAATTTTAGCCACCCTTTCCGTCTAATGTAGTTACCATGTGTCTGTGTGCATGTATACTATTACCTCTAAAAACTGTTGAACCAATTGACACGATCCTTCTGAAGACTCTCCCATGTTCGTGCCTTCTCGTTCATAACTACTAACAATCACCGTAGAGCAAACTTCCGATGTGAATAATATATTAGCGTCACTTAATGTAGGGTCTGAAATTTTTAATAGTATAATAATTAAAAAAAATATGGCGAGTTTGTAGTCATTTTATTTTGTAGGCCGTTGAATGAAAAAGTGGTCCCTTTTTGTATAATCGGAACACGCGATAGCGTAGTTGGTTTAGGCAATATGCGACAGGGCGGAAGGTCACTGGTTCTATTCCCGATGAAGCCACCGTTTTTTCAATTCACCTAATCCTTCCAGCCGCAATATCGCGACTCAGCCTCTAACAGAAATGAGTACCAGGAATCCTCCTGGGGGTAAAGGGCGGCCAGCACGTAAGACTGACAACCACATAGCCATCTGTGAGCCGATTGGCTAGAAAATGTGGGAGCCTCGACGTCTCACAACCCTGTGGGCCTCCAAGACCTGTTAACTGTGATATCTTTACCTTTACTTTTTTTCGCATAATCAAATTTCATACAAAACCTATGGTGACAGAGATAAATTTGAAAGTTTAATTTTACAATTTAGGCCTAAAAGAGTTCGCGCTAATGCATAAGCCTACTATGGATATAAATGTGCCACTAATTTGTATGATATGGCCGAGCTATAGCTCAAGCGGGTTAGTCGCTGGCTTCCCACCGCGGCGGCCCAGGTTCGATCCCAGGTCTGGTCAAGTGGGATTTGTGGTGGACAAAGTGGCGCTGGGGCGGGTTTCCTCCGAGTACTTCGGTTTCCCCTGCCAATCTTCATTCCACCAAATTCTCCATCATCATAATCACCCGGGGCAGGCTACAATAGGCCAATCAGTGGCCGCCGTGCAAAGTGGACCCAGTTGGACTCCATCCCCCACTAAGTGAATAAAAAAAATTGTATGATTCCTGCCGGCCCCTTTATATCAGTGCTGAAGGAACGTCTCAGTTTCAAACACTTGCCAATTCGCAGGTCCAGATGGAGTTTCTACTAGGAAGAAAACATGCGTCACACACGTTCTCAGAGCCTAGACCTTTTATTCATTCACTGGCTGACTAACGTCAGGAAGGCAGATGG